GGCGGGCGGCGGTTCGCAGCCCGGCGGATGGCGGTGGGCGCTGAGGGGACGCTGAGCCTGATGGAGGTCGGCGGATCCCTGCTGGAGCGGGTGGCCGTCGGCAACCCCCTCTCCCTGGTGCTGGCCGCCTCCGCCTTCGCGCTGAGCCTCGGCTACCTGTTCCAGCTGGGTTACCGGCGCCACGTCGGGTCCGAGCAGAAGGTGGGCGCTGGGGGACGCCGCCGGGGAGAGGCGGTGGGCCGGGGCGGGGGAGCCGGAGGCCTCCGCCACCCTCCCGCTGAGGCGGGGGAGAGGGCGAGGGCCGGGGGGGAGCCGGGCGGCCTGCCTTCAGGTGCGGGCGGGGAGGCAGCGGTGCGCTCGCCTCTGGCCGGCCCTTCCCGGGGAGCGCCACGGAGCGGGCGGTAAAATCCAGGTGTGCGGGAGCAGGCTCTGGCGAGCGAGGGGCCTTCCCGGCAGCCTGCCCAGGGACGGTTTCCCACGGGAACGTTGCGCCGGCTCGTCCCTTCGCCCAGCTGGCTGGTACCACGTGAAGCAGAGGCGCCTAGGTGTCGTAGAGGCGAAGGCTGTGCCCCGTCCTGCTTCATCAGTGCAGCTTAAAAGAAGGCTCCCGTGTATGTATGAAACTTGTTGCTAAAGCGAGGGTCGTGCCTTTGGGGGACTGTTTAACAAATCGGCGACACTGTCTTGTTTCTGACTGCTTTCTTTCCCATTGCAGTAACTTTCTGCTTTGCTTTCAGAGGCAGGTTAGCAAGAATCTTAGTCGCGTTAATTTTGTTTTAACCAATGCTGCTTTTAAATATGGCTCACTCTTACTCTAAAAAAAAAAAAAAAAATCAGTTGTCCGAAGTTGGCCTTTTCACAAAAGAGTTTAAACAAAACACGTATAAAGCCTCCTCTGTGTTTAGTTTTTAGGTAAAAGTTCATGATGTTATTATTCTCTGAAGAAAATCCAATATGCACTTTTCTCTTTCTTCCTCAGAAATACCCACCTTATATTTCATCAAGCATCCCTTTCCTTGGACACGCAATTGCATTTGGAAAAAGTCCCATTGAATTTTTGGAAAATGCTTATGACAGGGTATGTTTTCCCACATGACTGGCTGAGCATATGCTAAAATACTTTTGTGTATCTGTTAAGTTCTCTGTCTGGAACCTGTTTAAAAATAAGTTCATTCTTGTTTACCACCTCAAATGTGGAATGGAGTGTGCAGAGTAGGTGCTGGTTTCTTCTGATCTCTGTATGTACATCACTGTTAGAGAAATGGTGTTTTCTGAGATACCTCTTGTGTTTCAGATTTAAAAAATATGTTTGTGTATTTGAGTAATGCTCACAGCTGAATTGCAAGTTAATTAAAAAGCCATTTTCGTGATATTATTTCTTGCCTTACTTGGGAACTTTTAATCTCACTCTTTACTAATCTGTGACCAGGCTGGAATGTAGCTGACCACCTCTATAGGCAATCATCTGATGAATTTTAAGGCCCTCTCCAATGTTAAAAGGGCTGGTGTATGAAACCTCAGTAGCTTTTATGCTCTAACAGCCCAAAAGAAATTGACTAAGGCAGTAGAGCCTTAATTCCAATGAAATAAGATTTATTGATCTGTTTCACGTTGTCTCAGACTTTCTAGAGTCATAAGCTTAAATCTTAGCTTGGTTAGCTTAGAGAAAGCCAAATTTAGTAATGGAAGGTCTACTGGAGATGACCTTTAATCTTTAAAATCTTACATGCTCTTGATTACCAATGCATAACTCCAAATGCAGAATTTTTTGAGACAATGTTTGTAGGTTACTGGAGGCTATACGTGCTGTAATCTCCCCGCTAGTTTTTGTAGCGTAACTGATCTTTTATTTACATTTTTTAAACTAAATGGTTTTAAAATGTGCAAGATCATGTGTGTTGATTATAACGTTAGATATCACTAGTAAGTATACTGAGAACAGAATTTAAATGTGGTTTAAAATATTTCTATCTTTATTAAATCTCTAGACATTTCTTAGGAGAGTAAGTGATTTATGGAAGCCTGTACATAAAGAGATAGGGATTTAATGATTTGCATTGTTCTTATTTAAGATAAACTGTTTTTTTTTTTCTCTCTCAGTATGGACCTGTGTTCAGTTTCACTATGGTTGGCAAGACATTCACGTACTTACTGGGTAGTGATGCTGCTGCTCTACTCTTCAATAGTAAAAATGAAGATTTGAATGCAGAGGATGTATACTCTCGGTTAACTACACCAGTTTTTGGCAAGGGAGTTGCTTATGATGTCCCTAATACGGTATGTATTTTAAATATAAGATGAGTAGAAAAGTAGTGTAATTTAAATTCTGAGTAGGCAGCTCTGAGCTCTTGGCTCTGCATGATGGTGTTGGTACGCAATTCTGGCATATTGCAGGTAAATTGTCTCAGTTGGATAATCAAGACTGAACATGTTTAGGTTGCTTTATGTACCACCTGGCCATTCATCAGTCTGGATGCTATTTTTTGTTCTTGAAACCATCTAATCCCACCATAGAGGAAAAACTAATAAGTGAGTCTCTTTTTCCTTCCCTTATAGCACGCCACTGACTGCAGCTTACTTTTCCCTTACAAGCAACTTTAGGCCTTCCTTCTGAGAGGGCTTTAAGAGAGATAATTTTTCATTTGTGCCAGGCCAAATCTAGATTAAACAGGAGTATTAATTTGACAATTTCCAATGCAGGGTTTGTCTTGGTTGGACAAAAGTCCGTCTCTGTATGTTTGCAGAATACAGTCTGCATGGGTCTGGGAAGCACAGTGGCTGTGTCATGTGGCATTGTTTCCGAGCTAAGCATTGGTTGCTTTCTTGTTTGTGTTGTCTGGCATGGCAGAGTCTTAAACTGCAGAAACCAACTTTTCTGCGGACAGACTTGCTCCACTGGGACTCTGTATTCAGTATATGTTGACATCGACAGCCTGTTGTACAACGGAGTAGTCTGATGGCAGAAACAGCATTGTGATATATGATATACTTTATTTTTGGATTTTCAGCTTTGACTTAATTTTGTTGGTATAGATGCCAGTCATTTGACCGGTAATAGCTTCTGTGGCCATCAAGACTTTTCCTCCTTAGCATGCCTCTTCATTCTCCCCTGCCAAAAGTACTTGCAGTGATTGTTGCTCTCTTAATTATGTGGCTTAGGCGCAGTAATCACTAGTCTCTTTTCCTTCACACCAGCATTTTGCAGTGACATATGTTGTTCTTATGCCATTCTTTTGGAAATCTCATATACAACTGACTACCAACAACTTGCCACATTGTAAATAAGTAAAGGAGAACTTAGTTGTCTCCTGCTTTGTCAGGAAGTGTTAAATTGTGGATAGACAGCATCACAAAGTTTGGGGGGAGGGTTGTTTGGGTGGTGGGATTTTTTGTGCTTGATGAATTTGCTTAGCTCCTCCCATCCCTTTGTGAATGAAACCAGCAGGACTGCAGCCTGGATAAGAAGTAGGAGATTATTCCTTGTGTCCTAGGAGACCTCTTCCAAAAGTAGGGTCATTCTAACAGACTTGTTTCTAACAGTTCTGACAGTCAAAGGTCTTCCTCAAGAAGTCAGGAATGGAGTTGGGCATCCCTTCTGCAGCTGCTAGAGTGGAGAGGGTACATGATTCTCAGCAATACATCTTTCATGTTCTTCTCTGGTATATAGTAGTTTCAGAAAAGTGTCTGTGAATCAGACATAGGCTGCTAAGTTGGCCAGATTTTCACTGTGTTGTGCTTATTCTTTTGATTCTGACTATTGTGGGATGTCTGCTTGAAACTGAAAGGTGCTAGTTTGTCTCTTAGTTCTGTGACAGTTCATCCACTTGTTACAGCTGTCTTGACTTCTGCTTTCACACTTCATAGTTCATGGATGGATTTGAATGTCTGTCTTAATTCAAGAGCTAGTTCTTCGATGAGATCTAAGCTCACTCACCATTCCAGAGTTTTAGAGAACTTTCTGTAAGCTCCTTGGAAATGGGCATTTGTTACAACTGTGTTCTTCAGGCATACAGGGATGATTAAGGCCTACTTCATTGGTCCACCATATGCTGCTTTTTTTGGAATTAAGGTCTTTTTCTAGAGTTATCCTAATTTTTTTCCCTAGAATGTGAGTTCTGCTTTAGTCAAGAGATTAATCTTTTCATAGTACTCAGCCTTGGCTATCTGTGGATAAGTCTACTTCATTCATACCTTTGATACTAGAAGGACTTCTTCCTTTTTATCTCTGAACATTCAGGTTCCTCAGAAAATCACCTGGGCTACTGTTTTCCACAGCTAGGAGATGCAGGGATTTTGTTATTGGCATGC